TATATATATATATATATATATATATATATATATATATATATATATATATATATATATATATGCTATATATAGCATATGCTTATACTAATCAAAGATTGTATGGCAAAATTAAATTACATTAACTGCATGCAAAATAAAAGCATTTTCACTATTGGAACTCACTGCAAGTGGAGATTGTTTTTCTTAGATTTCATAATTGCAAACTCTCAAATTTGAAATGTGTGAACCATCTCTCTCTGGCTGCAGGGTCGAGTGGAGGTAGAGATCGGTAAAGAGGGACTAAAGTTTGAAAATGGGCCATTTACATACTACGGCTTACCTGCTATCATGACCATCCTACCCACAGGTTTGTTTGCTGATTCAATATTTGCCAGAATTCATCACTGGAGCTGAACAGAGCCTCATTAAATAAATCAACCCGAGTTTCCAGAATATCTCGAACAAGGTTTTTCTGCAGTAAAAATATTAATGAGCAATTTAAAAACTCTGAGAGGCGTTGAGCGTGGAGCATATACGTGACCCCTCTAATTAAGGCAGCAAATTTAAATAGAGCGGCTATGTAACTCTTAGGGGAGTAGAGTTGGGTAATTTCAGCGTCTGCCCACTCAAGCAAAACGGCACATTATTATATAAGAATGAAAATCTCATAAGCTTAGCATCATGAAAATGTAAAAATAACTTCAAGGATTGAGCCTTTAGCTCTTGCTGAAGAGATTAATTCAGAATGAATGTGCGTTAAATGTAAGCTAAGTGTCTGTGTCATGTAGTCTGTCTCTCTGGTGAGGGTTTTCTCTGCATCTCTCTGCGATATAAACACACAAAGAAAAGATGCAAACACATATACCAACATATTCCATCCAGGACTTTAGCATCTGCTAATGAGATATGACATCTACATGGACACAAAGAGATTCTGTGTCTGGGATATGTTTTTTTCTCTCTCTCTCATAATCACGGTTGTACACACAACACTAAAAGGTTTTCTGCTTTTTTAGCATTTCATGTCCTATTTTTAACATGCATTTGTTGCCACATTTTAACAGTTAAAACTTTGAGAAGCAGTATTGTATAGATAATATATAGACTTCTTTCCAGAGAATGTATCTTTAATAGGAGAGCATTTTGTCTTACTGCACCGGCAGAATGTTTCAGTTATTTTTACGCATAAACATTAAAAAAACAACTGATAAAAAGTAAGCAAAAAATCGGCCAAACGTACAGTACAAAAGACAAGATCAACTTAATTTCAGGATACAATGTATGAAAACAAATCACAGTATCTTATGCAGTGTTATAATTCAAGTACAACCATTTTGGTTCAAGGATTTTTAGATATTTATAAAAAATTCAATAAAAGCCCACTTTTGCAGTGTCCCGAAGCCCGAAGTTGTGTCCATTTAGCTGCATTTTCTAATATATAAGTGCATTTACTCCAAATGTGTACTGAATTCATTTTAAAAGCACACTTAGGGATTTTTTTCCTCATTAAAAAGAAAAAGATGTACCTTTAAAAATTAAAATCTAAAATAATCTCTACTATGAAACTGCTTCTAAAGTACAAATATTTTGGTTCAAGGATTTTAGATATTAAAAAAATGAAAAACTCATTAAGAGCTCACTTTTGCAGTGAATAAACGAATCGAATCAAGTTGTGTACATTTGGTTGAATTTTTGAATATGTAAGTAGTCCATCTCAACATATAGGTATATACAGTGGGTACGGAAAGTATTCAGACCCCCTTAAATTTTTCACTCTTTGTTATATTGCAGCCATTTGATAAAATCATTTAAGTTTTTTTTTTTTCCTCATTAATGTACACACAGCACCCCATATTGACAGAAAAACACAGAATTGTTGACATTTTTGCAGATTTATTAAAAAAGAAAAACTGAAATATCACATGGTCCTAAGTATTCAGACCCTTTGCTGTGACACTCATATATTTAACTCAGGTGCTGTCCATTTCTTCTGATCATCCTTGAGATGGTTCTACACCTTCATTTGAGTCAAGCTGTGTTTGATTATACTGATTGGACTTGATTAGAAAAGCCACACACCTGTCTATATAAGACATTACCGCTCACAGTGCATATATATATATATATATATATATATAGTAAGCAGACTCTCAAAATGCTAGGTAAAGAAAAATTTAATATCTAAAGCAATAATCAACTGACTGACTTCTACTGGTGTGATCCAGTCCACCGATCACCGTCCCGGAGCAGCGGTCTCAATCATTCGGATACTACAATCCACGGAGGCAGTCTGGGTCAACTGAGCATCAGCGGAGGACCGTATTTACCAGACTACTCAGTTCGCCAGCTCACAGACCTACAGATCATTAAGGTAAACTTGACCATGCTGAGAAAAAAAAAAACTGTGTTTCAGACAGCTGGATGAGGGGAAAATTCAGGGGCATGTTATGTTTCATACCCCAATATTAAAAAGAAATTAGTATTGTATTTCTATTTCATTTTAAGACCATTAAAGTTTTTAACCTAAATTCTCATTACTGTAATGCTGAAAGAGAATTTCATCCTTATTATAGTAATGAAAATAATCCTGTCTAGATAAATTTTTTTTCCTTTAATTTTTTCAATAATAAAATAATACGTAACTTATTTTTTTACTACATTTTGATTTTATTAAAAAAACATTTATCAGCATTAAATTCAATATGACCATACTTACAATTGTACTTTACATATAAATAATTAATGATAGTGTGCACAAGGAAAAAGCATAAAAGCATATGTTAATTTATCATTTTAACATTTTTGTATAAAATATATAAAAATACAAGTAAATTTGATTAAAAAAATAACTGTAAAAATTAAAAATGTGCAATTTAGATATAATACATTTTAATACAATATAATTAGACAATGCAGCATTTACTTTTGACTCGTGGTCCACAATCATGTTTCGATTTCTGGCCCTTAATGGGGATTTGGGGTGAATTGAAAAGAAAATTAATTTTCTTTATTAAAAATGTAGTCTTTTCTATTGATTTGGAGGTCAAATATGGCCCAGGTCCAATTTTATTTTAGGCTGATCCAAGAAGGACTCCCATCAAGTTTTTAGTTTTCGGTGTTCTTTAGCTTTGCTTCAAAAGTGCTAAAGTCAATACTTTTTAATAATGTTTATGTAAACAATAATGTAACATTCTAATGCTATATGTTAAAAATCAAATAGGGTTATGAGATATCTCAGTATGCTATGCTATTCTTTCCAGATCACTCGTAACCATTATCAGAACGCCCTGACAGCTACACGCATGGACACCTCTCCGCAAACACCCGACGCAGAGAGTCAAGCGCCCGGGGATAGAATGACAATCCCTGAGACGCGTTCCAACAGCATTGCCCTTCCTCTGACAGAACCACGGCCCTGTCTGACCCGATTCCACCAGCACAGCCACCTCTACAGACAGCCAGACAGCACCAGCACCCTTAATGAGAGGAACCGCATTGTCCGTGAGTGCATTCGCTTCTCATTTATAGCATCTTTCTCGGGTCCTCTTGGTCATTTTTTTAGGCAGCGAATATTAAAACAGTTTGACATGAAAGCACGTGGAAGTAGATTTCCTCGGGAGCTAGGAAACAGTCAGAAAAGCTTTATATGACAGACCATTTGAGCTCATCTCCAAAGGCTTCTGAGCTTTTCTGAAGTTGGCAGCGATTGCATAACCACGATGTTTGAGGAACACCAAAATAGGTGTTTTATAAGTTTGAATACACCCAAATATAACCATAACATATCAATGTCAGTCACTGTAATCTTTGTGGAAAGTGAGGATGCAGATAATGCAATGTTTGGTGGTACATGTGATGGAATTAGGACGTTTCTCACAGCTTCCAAATGCAAGACAAGACAGATGGCCGAACTCTAATCTTCTTACTAAAACTAATCAGACTTTGCGTGAAAAGGTTTAACTCTGATTCTTAAGCTAGAAATCACTTAGTTCAGTTTCTTCTAATAAATGAGGCCTGTACTAAAGTGTACACAGGATCAAATGCAGGGTAATCAAATTACACTGTTAAACAATATCATATCAATGTTTGCATTTATATGAAATGCTACTGTAAATATTTAATACACTTTGCGTGCAATACAGATTATAACGTGATATGACAGCAGTTTCACAACCAAAGTCGGAGTTTTAATTAAAACCTCCATGAAATCATAACGGTTTGGCTTTTTGTCAAAATTTGCTAGTATGAGGTAATTTGAAGTCACGTGTAAAACAGCCAAAATATTGAAGTTTTTTTTTCCTGGACTAAAAAATAAAATAAAAAAATTACCCCAAAATATTGCATAATCTTTCATATAATTTAATGTAGACTTTAAATTTATTTACAACTGTACTTTTCATTAAAATAATAGCATAAATGCTAATTATATAATATAAGATGATTTTTTTTTAACATGTTTATTAACATAATCAATGCACAATATGCTTTCTTGAAGGAAACAGAAATACAATAATTTAACAGCATGTCTTTAAAATATTGTGTGACATGAGTTTTGAAAAATAAAATAAGATTCGGGGTGTTTATTTTTGTCTAATAAACATGAAAATCTCGTACAGTCTGAAATATACCACGGGCCACCAATCGGATGATAGAACAGTAATCAGACAGCAGCAAAAACCCACAATATAAGCAATTAATCTTACCGTCCACATCCTGATGATGACCGCAGGCCTCTTCATCAGGATCTTCTCCCTCAGATCTTGACTCAAAGAGATATAGTCGTGATCCAAAAACAAATGCAGAATCATTTTCTTCTTCATCACTCGGGAATGGGTGAGAAATATTCCACGGTTCATTGTAAAGAGTCTTCATTGCTTTCATCCTCAGTAAAAACTGTGGTTAATCTCAGGTTGTCATGAAAATTAAAGGCTACTGGTTGGTTTAAAAAAGGTCAAGGCCTTCAATGCATCCACACCAACTTCCTGTTTCAATAGAAAATGTGGCTGCAATTGCATACTAGCTTTATATTACAGAAATAGTAAAAGTAGTATGCGGTTTCATATGTCAACACAGGTCAGAAAATTGTGTTTGGTTAATTAATTTCATTTTTATGTCAAAAGGCATGGCAGGACATGGACTCAAAACTTTTTTTAATCAGATACTCCTGCATAGTGCTACAAACTCCTGTCTTGTTTATTTCCTGTGTGATCATCTGACTCTGGCTCTCTGGCTCTCTGGCTCTCTGGCTCCCCCTGTAGGAAGTAAGTCAGATGGACAGAAGAGCCCCAGTGACTCTGTGTTCCTGCGTATGGATGACACCCCATATATAAGAGACAATCGTGTGGAGAGAAAAGAAGGAACTGGTGGGTGAACTGAAGGATGATTTCTGAAGCCAAACATGACATAATTTTATGCACCGATATACAGTGTTTACCTCAGTAAGTCCAAAAAGGAATAGAAGAGCTGCTAAAAACCAAATCAAAAGAAGAGACTGGGCATTAGGTGAACATAACTCACTGTAGAAACTGCACTTTTTTATTTTATTTTATATATTTTATTTTAACATTTATTTTTTTCGCCCTCATGCCTTTTCAACCCTGTATGCTTTCCATGGACACACAATGAATATTTGTTAAGAATATAATTTTTTTGTCTGTTTCTCAAGCAATTATACGACTTCAAGACTTTAGAATATAGTTTTTAATACTGTAGTTGTATAGACTAATTATATCTTTATGCAGTAAAAGGTTCCTAAAGATTCTTCAAAATATCTGTGTGTCTTTAAAAGTAATAAATACAGCATACAGGTTACAAAATGGCCTAAGGGTGTGTAAACAATGCCAAAATGTTGATTTTTGGCCAAACTATTCCTTTAAGAAGGGTGGTGGTCTGCTCTCTGACTAAATGCACCCAAACTTTCAAACACTGGAGTGGCTGTTTGACAGCGAGCGAGACGTTTGACAGACTGCAGGGAGAGGAAATGCATGAGCTCTAGTCTCTGTTTATACGACCTGCAAAGGAATGTTGACATCAGGCTAGAACTGTCCATTTCAGCTCTGCTTGTTATGACTGGAGGTTAACGGGAATGACTAAATCAAGAATCAGTGCAGTTTGGATGTATAGAGAAGAGAAGAGAAGAGAAGAGAAGAGAAGAGAAGAGAAGAGAAGAGAAGAGAAGAGAAGAGAAGAGAAGAGAAGAGAAGAGAAGAGAAGAGAAGAGAAGAGAAGAGAAGAGAAGAGAAGAGAAGAGAAGAGAAGAGAAGAGAAGAGAAGAGAAGAGAAGAGAAGAGAAGAGAAGAGAAGAGAAGAGAAGAGAAGAGAAGAGAAGAGAAGAGAAGAGAAGAGAAGAGAAGAGAAGAGAAGAGAAGAGAAGAGAAGAGAAGAGAAGAGAAGAGAAGAGAAGAGAAGAGAAGAGAAGAGAAGAGAAGAGAAGAGAAGAGAAGAGAAGAGAAGAGAAACAACTAACCAATGACTTTCCAGCTCAGTTTGTCATGTGATCGTGGCCCGTTGTCATAGTGTGTCCGATCTATTTCAGATGCGACGGCCGTACCCATGGAGACGGGCCTGTCTACATCCCAGCTCATCAGCTCTCACTCTCTGGGTGGCTCGGATGAGAACCTGGGGAAAAAACTGCTCCGGAAACTCAGTGTGTATCAGCTGCCAAGCACCTGACTGAATCGCAAATTTGTGAATCTGCCCAGTAATGACACGGCACCTGCATTTACAGCTGCACACACACACACACACACACCTGCTTTTAGTCTGCATTTTCAAACGCCATCTGTTTCCTAGCAACCAGCCAGACAAACTGCAGCCCACACTTCTGTTTAATAAAAAAAGACAGCTCACTCAGAACAATGTGATTTACGCAAGTAGGACATATTTCTGGATCCGCAGCCTTTGTTGCTCCTGGAAAAACATTTTTAATAAAGAAATCATTTCTGCTGTTAAAAAATGATGTCGGAGGCTGGTGCTCCGGCAAAACTTTCGGACTAGTTTAACCAACTAAACTCGTCAACCGTCATCGGTTCAATAATGTTTCCTACTTTCATTCATGCATTTAGTAGACACTTTTATAAAGCAATTCAAATTGTAAAATTTGAAATAGGACAATATTTGGCCGAGATACAACTATTTGAAAATCTGGAATCTGAGGGTGCATAAAAAATCAAAATACTGAGAAAATCGCCTTTAAAGTTGTCCAAATGAAGTCCTTAGCAATGCATATTACTAATCAAAAATGAAGTTTTGATATATTTACGGTAGGAAATTTACAAAATATCTTCATGGAACATGATCTTTACTTAATATCCTAATGAGTTTTGGCATAAAAGAAAAATCGATCATTTTGACCCATACAATGTTTTTTTGGCTATTGCTACAAATATACCCCAGCGACTTAAGACTGGGTTTGTACTCCAGGGTCACATATGATTTATGTATTGACATTTTCTTAATTATTATATTAATTAAATACATAATATTTAATATTAATTAATTTAGTATGAATTATACTTGAGTTTTGAAAAATAAAATAAGATTCGGGGTGTTTATTTTTGTCTAATAAACATGAAAATCTTGTACAGTCTGAAATATACCACAGGCCACCAATCGGATGATAGAACAGTAATCAGACAGCAGCAAAAACCCACAATATAAGCAATTAATCTTACCGTCCACATCCTGATGATGACCGCAGGCCTCTTCATCAGGATCTTCTCCCTCAGATCTTGACTCAAAGAGATATAGTCGTGATCCAAAAACAAATGCAGAATCATTTTCTTCTTCATCACTCGGGAATGGGTGAGAAATATTCCACGGTTCATTGTAAAGAGTCTTCATTGCTTTCATCCTCAGTAAAAACTGTGGTTAATCTCAGGTTGTCATGAAAATTAAAGGCTACTGGTTGGTTTACAAAAGGTCAAGGCCTTCAATGCATCCACACCAACTTCCTGTTTCAATAGAAAATGTGGCTGCAATGGCATACTAGCTTTATATTACAGAAATAGTAAAAGTAGTATGCGGTTTCATATGTCAACACAGGTCAGAAAATTGTGTTTGGTTAATTAATTTCATTTTTATGTCAAAAGGCATGGCAGGACATGGACTCAAAACTTTTTTTAATCAGATACTCCTGCATAGTGCCACAAACTCCTGTCTTGTTTATTTCCTGTGTGATCATCTGACTCTGGCTCTCTGGCTCTCTGGCTCCCCCTGGAGGAAGTAAGTGAAGAGAAGAGAAACAACTAACCAATGACTTTCCAGCTCAGTTTGTCATGTGATCGTGGCCCGTTGTCATAGTGTGTCCGATCTATTTCAGATGCGACGGCCGTACCCATGGAGACGGGCCTGTCTACATCCCAGCTCATCAGCTCTCACTCTCTGGGTGGCTCGGATGAGAACCTGGGGAAAAAACTGCTCCGGAAACTCAGTGTGTATCAGCTGCCAAGCACCTGACTGAATCGCAAATTTGTGAATCTGCCCAGTAATGACACGGCACCTGCATTTACAGCTGCACACACACACACACACACACCTGCTTTTAGTCTGCATTTTCAAACGCCATCTGTTTCCTAGCAACCAGCCAGACAAACTGCAGCCCACACTTCTGTTTAATAAAAAAAGACAGCTCACTCAGAACAATGTGATTTACGCAAGTAGGACATATTTCTGGATCCGCAGCCTTTGTTGCTCCTGGAAAAACATTTTTAATAAAGAAATCATTTCTGCTGTTAAAAAATGATGTCGGAGGCTGGTGCTCCGGCAAAACTTTCGGACTAGTTTAACCAACTAAACTCGTCAACCGTCATCGGTTCAATAATGTTTCCTACTTTCATTCATGCATTTAGTAGACACTTTTATAAAGCAATTCAAATTGTAAAATTTGAAATAGGACAATATTTGGCCGAGATACAACTATTTGAAAATCTGGAATCTGAGGGTGCATAAAAAATCAAAATACTGAGAAAATCGCCTTTAAAGTTGTCCAAATGAAGTCCTTAGCAATGCATATTACTAATCAAAAATGAAGTTTTGATATATTTACGGTAGGAAATTTACAAAATATCTTCATGGAACATGATCTTTACTTAATATCCTAATGAGTTTTGGCATAAAAGAAAAATCGATCATTTTGACCCATACAATGTTTTTTTGGCTATTGCTACAAATATACCCCAGCGACTTAAGACTGGGTTTGTACTCCAGGGTCACATGTGATTTATGTATTGACATTTTCTTAATTATTATATTAATTAAATACATAATATTTCATATTAATTAATTTAGTATGAATTATTTTTTATAAATTTTTTCTTTTATTTATTCTTTCTTAAAAGTCTAAAAAAACTTTAAATCTTGAAAAACCTGAAAGGGCTTTTCAACAATTTTTCAAACATGATTACAGTTAGAGTATATTAATTTAAGTAGTACATTTACAGTAAATGAATTTAAATTCCAGTATATATAGAAACTATATAATATTTAATTTTCAATGTTATTTTTTTTAATTTATTTTAAATATGCCTTTGTCAAGCTAACATTCAAAGTATTGACAAACATTACTCTCCTGGTAAAAAAAAGTAGTAATGTGAATTTCAATAGATTTTATACTTACATTCAAATTCAAATTGCAATTCTGCATCCTGTTTCAGTTCAAATTTAATTCAAATTCAGGACTTGTATTGAAATTTTAACAGCATTTTTACTTAAATTCTGAATGGTGCACAACCCTGCCAGAAACATGTTCTATTTGCTAAAATACAGTCTTCATCAATCAGACATTTTCATCACTTATTCATACTTATCAGTTGACAGCTTTTTTACTTCAGATATTCAGGTCAGTTCAAAACTAGGCATTTTACATTTCACTTTCTACTCTCCAGGCAACAAAAAAAGAAAGAAGTCTTGTGATGGAGATAAACCTTTGGAAGACAATCCTGAACAATCACAGGTGAAGACCTAGCATTCATTGTACGGGTTTGCTTCTCTCTTGCTCTCTCACCCGCTTCTCCCACAAATGTGAAATCTTCTGCAGCCTTCCTCTGGATCCTGAGTGAGAGAAAGCACAACCCAGTGTACAATGACCACCACAACAGATGTAGCATCAGAAAACCTTGCCTTCAGGAATATACTGTTACAACAAACCTGAAATATACAACATACAGCAAGACATGTTTTTTTTTTTCATTGACGAGATTCTACATAACCGTTGATATACTACAGTATTGATGGCGGTTTATGATGACGTCATCTCCAGTCACTCTGGTAATGACATTGTGACCTCTGACCCCGGGCAAAGCCAGCAAGCACAAGCCTGGAGACCTGAAGCCAACCGTTTGACCAATGAGAGGGCAGAACCTTTAGTATGTCACAAAATGTGGTCATCTTTCAGTAGAAACAAAGTGCTTATTGTGTGATTTTCTATCATATTAAGTGAGAGGTATTTGTCAGGCTGTGCCTGGAACTTAATCAAGATATCAGAGCACTTTGAGACAGATCAAACCCATTTATTTCATATTCTGTTGAATAGCTGAGATGTAGACAGAGAAAAATTACCTATATTAGGTAAGTGCTGTCAGAATCTTTTTTTTCTTCTTCTGTTTTCTGTATTCGAAGTATGAATATTTTATGCTGATTTCTTATCATTTTGCTTTAATTTTTGCATTTCCGTTCGGCTGAGAGCACAGGGTACAAAGAGATATGGCTTTTTTCTTTTTAGCTATTTTAGGCCATATTCAATATTTTTTTTTAAATAGTCAGAGATGCCAGTGCTAATGGTCCAAGCACATGTATTTGACAATAGATTTATTTGTTTAAAAATAATAACATTTATTATATCGGCATGCTTTTCTCAAACAGCAGTGTTATTATTGATATTATTAGAACAGCATTGTGTTTACTGTATGAAATATCGATATTTAGGATATGCGCAAGCCATAACTTGAACAAACTTGAAGCATTGATACTAAAATGTCACCTCAGATATATATATATATATAAATCATAAGCAATATCCAAAACATGCAAGAAGCCTATAGTATTTTGTTTTGAGCCCTTTTGAAAACGATAGAATACTTAGTAATTTACTGCAACACGCTGAAAATCTCACCCACGTTTCCTTTCATAAGCATGCTGCTATGTGAATTTCATCTTCAAGCTTCATACTTCCTGTAAATTAGAGCCTTTTTAAAATGGCATTCATACTACCATTCAAAAGGTTGAGGCCAGTAAGATTTTTTTTTAAGCAATTAACACTTTTATTTAGAAAGGATATGCTTTAAAGGAACACTCCACTATTTTTGAAAATAGGCTCATTTTCCAACTCCCTTAGAGTTAAACAGTTGAGTTTTACCGTTTTCGAATCCATTCAGCCGATCTCCGGGTCTGGCGGTAGCACTTTTAGCTGTAGCTTAGCATAGATCATTGAATCTGATTAGACCGTTAGCATCTCACTCAAAAATGACCACAAAGAGTTTCTATATTTTTCCTATTTAAAACTTGACTCTTCTGTAGTTGCATTGTGTACTAAGACCGACGGAAAATGAAAAGTTGCGAATTTCTAGGCCGATATGGCTAGTAACTATACTCTCATTCAAGGAACTTTGCTGCCGTACCAGTGCAGCGGTTTAGGTATTCGGTATTAGGTATTAGGCGCTGCGTAATATCATTGCGCCTGCTGCACCCATGGTACAGCAGCAAAGTTCCTTGATTATTACGCCGGAATGAGATGATCATTCAATGATCTATGCTAAGCTACAGCTAAAAGTGCTACCGCCAGACCCGGAGATCGGCTGAATGGATTAGAAAACGGTAAAACTCAACTGTTTAACTCTAGGGGAGGAATATGCTTATAAAGTGTGTTCTGATGCCACCCGATCAGTCACAATCTGCCACATTGAAGGCCTATCGTCATATCTGTGCATGTTAAATGGCAGATTCTTAAACTTTTGCTCCCTAAAGTTAAAAATGTTTTTTAATGGCTTTGCATTGAGTGAAAAGTTACTTATAGTTCACTCAAAAATGAAAATCTGAATCCGAAAATGTACTCACCTCAGGCCATCCAAGATGTAGATCTATTTCTGTATCAGATATGGAGAAATTTTATCTTTACATCACTTGCTCACCAGTGGATCCTCGGCAGTGATTGGGTGCCGTCAGAATGAGAGTCCAAACAGCTGCTAAAAACATCACAACAACCCGTAAGTAATCCATGCCACTCCAGCCCATCAACTGATGTATTTTGAAGCGAAAAGCTGCACATTTTTAAGAAACAAAACCATTTTTAAGGGTTTTTTCTCTTCAAACTGTGACTTCCAGTTAAAATATGAGTCCTCTATCCATAATCAGGAGAGAAATATGCACAGGTCAAGCAGAGTTTACAAGCGACAACAGTCTAGGACAGTTCTAAACAAATATGATGGTGGATTTTGATGCGAGACAACAGGTACTGCTTTGTTTCTTACAAACATGCAACTTTTCACGTCACAAAATGTTAGTTAATGGACTGGAGTGGTGTGAATTAATTGTGGATTATTGTGATGTGTTTATCAGCTGTTTGGACTCTCATTCTGACGGCACCCATTCACTGCAGAGGATCCAATGGTGATCCAGCGATGTAATGCAAAATTTTTCCAAATCCGTTCTTATGAAGAAACAAACCTTGTCACAGTAAGTTTAAAATTGACATGCTTGTAGTATGAATAGAAAACAGAGTAAATTCTAGTGCCAATCACTCTCTGTGTGCAGTTAATAAATCACACATTTTAAAGTAATACACCATGGATTTATCTTTTTAAAAAAAATGATTTGCCAACACTGTTATAGTCAAACTTTAAAAAGTTGAACATTAGAGGGTTTAAAAAGAATTGAAGGTGCAAAAGTAGCCTTAACTAACAAACTTCATCTCATTACTGTGTTTGTTTTGTGTCAGAAAAGCTGCAAACTTTCACTTTTGACCAAGTTAATGCATCCTTGCTGAAAACAAGTATTGCTTTCTTAATGATACCCCAACAAAACCATTTTTAAGGGTTTTTTCTCTTCAAACTGTGACTTCCAGTTAAAATATGAGTCCTCTATCCATAATCAGGAGAGAAATATGCACAGGTCAAGCAGAGTTTACAAGCGACAACAGTCTAGGACAGTTCTAAACAAATATGATGGTGGATTTTGATGCGAGACAACAGGTACTGCTTTGTTTCTTACAAACATGCAACTTTTCACGTCACAAAATGTTAGTTAATGGACTGGAGTGGTGTGAATTAATTGTGGATTATTGTGATGTGTTTATCAGCTGTTTGGACTCTCATTCTGACGGCACCCATTCACTGCAGAGGATCCAATGGTGATCCAGCGATGTAATGCAAAATTTTTCCAAATCCGTTCTTATGAAGAAACAAACCTTGTCACAGTAAGTTTAAAATTGACATGCTTGTAGTATGAATAGAAAACAGAGTAAATTCTAGTGCCAATCACTCTCTGTGTGCAGTTAATAAATCACACATTTTAAAGTAATACACCATGGATTTATCTTTTTAAAAAAAATGATTTGCCAACACTGTTATAGTCAAACTTTAAAAAGTTGAACATTAGAGGGTTTAAAAAGAATTGAAGGTGCAAAAGTAGCCTTAACTAACAAACTTCATCTCATTACTGTGTTTGTTTTGTGTCAGAAAAGCTGCAAACTTTCACTTTTGACCAAGTTAATGCATCCTTGCTGAAAACAAGTATTGATTTCTTAATGATACCCCAAACTTCTGAATGATACTATAAATATACTACCACTGGGCTAATAAAACACACCAGAAAACATGTTTGTTTACTTCGTTTATTTTAATGCACTTTGATTAGTATATTTGTGCTCAACGAGTTTTAATACTCCTAGAGGTTAGATCTTTTGCGACTAAGCTGGGTGGGAGAGTAATGTACTTGGACTAATGGCTGCACATTCAATAAACGGTCCTGCAGTGTACAAATGAGCCTGAACACAACACAAGAACACAGCAGTGAAAGTGATGGACCAGAATCAGCACATTAAAAAGACATCAGAAAAAAAAAAAAGTGCAAAACAATGCCTGGGCTCTTCACAACCCAGAATTTCCAGAACATCAAAGATGAAAAGTTTAAAGGAATATTCAACCCACATATCACTTTTCTGTATAATTCACTCTCTTTCAGCTGTCAGAGATCCAATATCCCAGAATGCACCTCTTCGCAGACCACAAGCCATTTAATTTGAGGTAAGAGCATCAGAAATTGACAGTTAAACACAATCTAATGCCCCCATCATTCAAGTTCTAGAGTCGTCTCTGTGAGCATGATTTAAGAATAGACACATAGATCATAAAACATGCACACTGTCCTTCAGTTCAGCACTCAATACAGTGAAATTTTCAGACACAATGATAAAATTCAGCAAGTTAATAAAGGCTAGTTTCTACCTGTTCCACCCACTAACACAAAGGTTGCCTATAACTCTGATCCAGTCACATTAACCGGTTTAAATTTAACCTAAGACCATGAAGAATCATAAAATCAGTGAAGCTGGACCTTCAGGTTAATGAAATCCAGAGAGAGCCATTTGGTTGACTGTAAATCCCACCATAAAGTGCGTATTCGTAGAAACAAGATTTAAATGAACACCACGGATAATATTTCAACATACTCTCTTCTGAAAACACAGGAGAAAGGCGAAGGGAAATACACACACACATATACATATATATATATATATATATATATATATATATATATAGTTTCATTTCTTTATAATTACAGTTGAAATAGAGTAATAAAATGCTGATGAGCAAATTAGACCAGCAAAGCTGGTGAGTGAAGGTGTGTATCAGTGTGTGTGTGTGTGTGTGTGTGTGTGTGTGTGTGTGTTTGTTTGTGTGTGCGCGCGCGTGTCTATGTTCCTGTGGACACACACACACAAACAGGAAGTGTGGTAAAGGTGCTTATTGGACTGTAGTGACAGCCTCATGAATGGACTCGGCCACATAGTCGATGTTCTTGGTGGTGAGGCCACACATGTTGATGCGCCCGCTCGCCATTAGATAAATGTGCTTCTCTTTCACCAGGTACTCAACCTGCTTAGCTGTAAAACAGAAAACAACATTTTCAAATGGTTGTGTGACATTTTATGTGAATTTGAAACACATACACTGCATTAATTAACAAAATATCAAACTATCAATTAACAAAATATCAAATAGTGGCAACTGCAAACAAATTGATTTTTCCTAGTACTGGCTTTTAACTATTTCCACAGTACTAGCTTTTAACCATTTTCTCAGTACTATTTTTTAACTATTTTCTCAGTTTTAACTTCTATTTTCACATTTCTTACATTCTAGCTATCTTCTCAGTACTTTGAACTATTTTCTAAGTACTAGCATTAACTATTACTATCGCTTTTAAAGCCTATAACCTAAAAGGCTTTAAATAAAGATTTGAAACCACAGCAACTATTTATCTCCAGCTGCAGTAAAGTGTAAGGAACAGTAGATAAAGCATGACTGACTGCCGTGTTAGAACAGATGTTTCCAGTGGTGAGACACATGGATGAATGAAGTGTGAAAGCGCTAGAAGGAGATGCTTACGGTTGAGTCCGGTGAAGCTGAACATGCCGATCTGCTCAGTGATGTGCTCCCAGGTTCCTGGAGTTCCGAGTGCTTTGAGTTTTTCCTTCAGCTGAGCACGCATGAGCAGGACTCTGTCTGCCATGGTCTTCACATTGTCCTTCCTGTAGAAAGATGGAAAAATGCCAGACTATGAATATCCCTTAAAGGGGTCATATGATGCTTTTTTAAAGATCATTATTTTGTGTATTTGGTGTAACAGAATATGTTGACATGCTTTAATGTTCAAAAAACACATTATTTTTCATATACTGTACATTATTGTAGGTCCTCTATGCCCCGCCTCTCTCAAACGCTTCGTTTTCTACAAAGTCCCTCCTTCCGAAAGCGCAGTCTGCTCTGATTGACCAGCTGACCCAGTGCATTGTGATTGGCCAAATACCGCAAGCACTCGTCGGAAATGTAACGCCCCTTACCATAATCGCGAGCTTCATCTTTCAAAATAAATGGGCGGAGAGAAATACACACACACATATATATATATATATATATATATATATATATATATATATATATAGTTTCATTTCTTTATAATTACAGTTGAAATAGAATGTTGAAATGCTGATGAGCAAATTAGACCAGCAAAGCTGGTGAGTGAAGGTGTGTATCAGTGTGTGTGTGTGTGTGTGTGTGTGTGTGTGTGTGTGTTTGTTTGTGTGTGCGCGCGCGTGTCTATGTTCCTGTGGACACACACACACAAACAGGAAGTGTGGTAAAGGTGCTTATTGGACTGTAGTGACAGCCTCATGAATGGACTCGGCCACATAGTCGATGTTCTTGGTGGTGAGGCCACACATGTTGATGCGACCGCTCGCCATTAGATAAATGTGCTTTTCTTTCACCAGGTATTCCACCTGCTTAGCTGTAAAATAGAAAATAACATTTTGAAATGGTTAAGTAACATTTTATGTAAATTTGAAATGGACACATTGCATTAATTAACAAAATATCAAACTAAGTGGCCACTGCAAACAAAATATGCCTTTTTCCATTACTAGCTTTTAACTACTTTTTCCAGTACTAACTTTAAATGATTTTCCCAGTGCTAATGTTTAACTATTTTCTCAGTAATAACTTTAACCATTTCTTTAGTATGGTTTAACTATTTTCTCAGTACTAAATTCTGGGTTTCTGCAGACATGAACAAGTTAAATTTAAGACTTTTTAATGCCACCTTACATGAAATTTAAGACCTAAACCTGTAATGGAAATACACATTTTATTACATACAGTGGGGCAAAAAAGTATTTAGTCAGCCACCAATTGTGCAAGTTCTCCCACTTAAAAAGATGAGAGAGGCCTGTAATTTTCATCATAGGTATACCTCAACTATGAGAGACAAAATGAGAAAAAAAAATCCTGAAAATCACATTGTAGGATTTTTAAAGAATTAATTGGTAAATTCCTCGGTAAAATAAGTATTTGGTCACCTACAAACAAGCAAGATTTCTGGCTCTCACAGACCTGTAACTTCTTCTTTAAGAGCCTCCTCTGTCCTCCACTCGTTACCTGTATTAATGGCATCTGTTTGAACTCATTATCAGTATAAAAGACACCTGTCCAAAACCTCAAACAGTCACACTCCAAACTCCACCATGGCCAAGACAAAAGAGCTGTCAAAGGACACCAGAAAAAAAATTGTAGACCTGCACCAGGCTGGGAAGACTGAATCTGCAATAGGTAAGCAGCTTGGTGTGAAGAAATCAACCGTGGGAGCAATTATTAGAAAATGGAAGACACACAAGAGCACAATTGGTGGCTGACTAAATACTTTTTTCCCCACTGTACATATGTGTTATATTTAATGTGTTTAAATTAAAAAGAAAACAAAATATCATTTCTGTAATAAATTATATTTATTACTACGATACACAGTGAAGTTTTAATGTCAGCAGACAATATTCCATACAAAAAATATCCCTGCAAAATAACTGCATCACTGAGATTTTTGGTGGAGTAAACAATTTATTCTGAAGCAATATTTTCATCAGTGTTCTATCAGCTTTTACATACTTAAATCTGCATATTTTTATTTACCTTTACAAAGGCCTATTTTTAACCTTTTTAGATGTATGCATCATCTTTCATGTCAAATTATTACAATTTATCAATAAATAATTAATAAATAGATTAAATAATTTACACTGCAAATAACAATAATTACAACTGCAATAAATAATGTCATGAGATTCATGTTTTAAATGTATTTACGAATATACAAATAAGAAATGTTGGGGGGGGGGGAGTGCATACTTTTCAACATACTTCTCAACTAAACGACCAGTATGTGGTCACTTAATGAGTGAGTATTGAGTCATTCATTCAACTGATTGAGTGTGTTATCATGTTGGTATCTTAAGGACTTTCGTGGACAGCTGACTCCTAACATTTTTCATATTCTGTGTGGTGGTCAGATAGAATTAATCTTTTCCAATAAGTTTAAATTGATTTTTACCGTTTATGGGCATTTTACCTTTATAAAGCCATTTTTTTCTACAAGTGTGTATTATCTTTTGAGTCAAATTCTTACATTTTGGGCTGTTACCAAGCAAATGAAATCAGTATCAACAAAATTCATCTTTGCAATCCAGACATAAGCTGCACCTGAAGTGGCATTTAGAAGTATTTACACACTGTTTAATGCAGAACATGAATGCATTTAACCTGCAGTTACAAATGCATAAATAATTTGATATATTAAACATAAAACGTTGAATACTGATATTTGAAATGATTTAAAAAATGAAAAGATAGTTTAAATGTGAAATTAAAACCGCCAGTAGGTGGCAGCAATCATTGTTAATAAACGAGTCATTGCGACTGAACCGAATAATTAAACGGTTGATTCATGCAGGAACAAAACGCTGTCATGTCGCTCAAAGACGCAAAACAGCACTGTGGCTGTGTTTGGAATTATTTAGTGCAAAAACAGGCAAGATGGTGCCTAAAACGTAAGTCTCTTAATAAAACCTCTAGTTTATTGAACTGTTGTGTAAAAAAAAAAAAAAGTAAATATTACATTTGTATATGGTAATTTTTGGAGAAAAAAAGCACTCTTCTGTGTGAAATTGATACACATTTTCTTCCCCCATGTCTTGAATTTGTGATCATTCTGAATGTATTTTAATAGACTGAATCATGCCATAAAAGAGCGCACTGTATATGCGCACGCGCACTAGACTTCACGTAATGCGTGCACTCTGTAGGTGTTTTGAAAGTTTTTTTGCGTCGTGAGAATATTGAGCAAAATAGCTCACTTGTCATGGTGTTACTTAACTATATCATGTTATGAATAAATTAAACATTCTGAATTTTTTTGCGAAGGGCCCTTCCAGAAGTCCGTTAGCGAAGGGAACATGCGATGGTCACTTCACGGAAGTGATTTCCGTTTGTGATCATGTGATCTTCAGTTAGGAAATCTTGCGACGCATTTTAAAGCAAAGTTGTGGTTGATTTTGACACAAACGCAAGTAGAATAGGCTAATTAAATTTGTCTTTATTTTAATAATAATATTTTGTAATGTAAGGATAAAAGAAACTAGAATACTTTGATCTCCTGAGAGGCAAACAATGCACTGGCATCTTCAGGACACCCCACAGAGGGGTGGTGCGGGAAACACCTCTCTCACATATGCATCTGTGCCTAGAATACTTTGATCTCCTGAGAGGCAAACAATGCACTGGCATCTTCAGGACACCCCACAGAGGGGTGGTGCGGGAAACACCTCTCTCACATATGCATCTGTGCCTTTTCATCTTTTCATTCACTCATTCACTCAAAGAATATAATGTTCTAAATGAATGCAAATAAGATTTACAGTCATGTTTGGTTTCATTTGAATAGTTTCATAGTTTCAGGTACAATGGTCTTAATCGTACTAAAAGATAATACAGATCCTAAGAGTTAAGAGAAACTTTGATCCCCGTAGAGAACAATCCCATGCAAATTACCTTTTGTTACCACCCAGGTCTGGGACCTGGCTTAATGCAAATTCCAATTGTTTGTACATGCCTCCATTTGGAGGATGTTTTTCTTAGGTTTGGTATTTAAAGGACTGCAGCAAAAGGGTCAGGGCGATTCTGTAGCCAGAAAGCCCGTAGTGTGAAGGTGTCCACAAAATTCACACTATGTATTTTTCACACGAAGTCAGGTATGCATCTTACTCTTAGATTTGTCTTTGAGAATTTGATGTCTTGTATTGATTTGATATCGTTGAATTGGCTGTGGAAATAATTGGCATAATACATATTTACCTGACTGATAATAAATTGTTACATTTGATTTATTCTGACTCACTCTGAAGTTATTTTCTCAAGTAGATTAAGTGAAGGCTTGTGTTTCCGCAAATCTGCGTCCAGGGTTAAGTGCACATTAGATCTCAGGTTAGATGGAGCATGGGCACATCAGGTGAGATTATAGGTTTCTGACTAACCGCTTGACCTTAATTTAAGTTGTACTCAGTTACGTTAACCATGTGTATGATTTCAGCTTTAATTAAGTTGTACGTAGTTATAATAACTATTGGGGTCTAGACTAAGGGTCTAGAAGAACCGCTGATTAACATTTGAAGTGTTAATTAAGTTGTACGTAGTTATAATAACTATTGGGGTCTAGACTAAGGGTCTAGAAGAACCGCTGATTAACATTTGAAGTGTTAATTAAGTTGTACGTAGTTATAATAACTATTGGGGTCTAGACTAAGGGTCTAGAAGAACCGCTGATTATTGTTTGAGCATTACATGGGTAATTGTAGGGGGCTAAACAAACCTACTATTTAAAGTAAATAGTATTAGCCATAAACCTCTGAATAAGGATCAAACTGGCGAGTTTGTGATCGTGGAGCCCACGCATAGCGGCCGCCGTGAGGCATCCTAAGCGACACAGATTCCTAATGAACGAGAAAAAATACAAAGTAAAGAGTTAATTAGAATAAGTTAATGTAAGAATAATCAGAGACCGACAAACAACCAATGTGCCTTTCAACCTAAATTAGAATTCAGATACTAAAATGGAGTCAGATTGAGTTAAACCTAAATTGAATAACACTGCGCGCTGAAAAGCCCGAACACGCAAGAGACCTTCATCCGCCACTGG